AAATAAAATTTAAAAATCAGTTAACTTTGTTTTTTTTCAGTGGCCCTAATCCTCTTCCGTAGGAAACAGATTAGCAAACTGATAACTAGGAAATGATTGCTCCATTTATGTAACACCTTTATTTGGTTGCTAGGAAAGGGACTTTTGCTTTTGGAATGTGTCTTGAGTTTTATGGGACGTGTTAGGGTGGCACAGGTGGTGTCCAAGGTTCAGAGTCACGTCTGGTTGCTCTCTGACACCATGGGGAAACAGAGCCTGTTTAAGAACCTCTGCAGTAAATACAGTCGAAGGAGCGCATTTTCAGACTTTAACTCCAAGGTACCCATCACTTTCCTTTTTAAATGGACTAGTCTTATATATAGCAATTGAAAAATAATGCTGTTTGGTCTGGTGTAATTTGAATCTTCATACATGTTAAAAAATAGGATTAATGTTATTAGAGACTGCTTTTTGTTGTGTCAATCTTTACCATAATAATTATTTTTGTTGCCCTTTTTCAATGCAGCTTTACTGTTGTGCCTATAAACATCCATTACATGCTGTAATGGATGAAACAGTGAAATGGTTTTGGAGAATAGTTTGCAAGCTTTTTGCGCTGCTTATTAATGTCGTATTAGTGATGTCTTCCTATTGAAACACAGGCCAAACAATGTTAAACGTGGCTATTCAATGAATGCAGTTGTGTCAGATCACATATGACACACCCATGTAAGCAGGACGGTAATTTTCCATGCATACAGAACTATTTTAATCTTTCCAGAAAACACGTGTATTTTTTTTTTAAATATGTTTTCAAATAAGTTAAACAGAACCAACATGTTGAGCAAAAACAGCAACTTTCAGAGAATTGACAGATTCACAGACAATAGTACATAATTTGGAAGTAAAGCATTGATTTAATAAAATTTTTACAATTAAATTGATGTGCGCTTCTATTTATCTTCCCATATGTCGGTACAGCTGATGGTCTATTGGTTCACAGATCTACCCGTTATATTTTTCAGGGATAAAGGTTTTAATCTATAAGTCTTTGCAAAATTACTGCATGTAGCTGCATGTGGTTGAATTTGGATTGAACTTTGACTCGGCCATTCTAACACATGTACATCATGGTGAACCTTTACCCCAATCTCCAGTCCTATGCAGCCTCTAATAGGGTTAGTTTCAGTTTTTATTTTAGATTTAAATTCGCCCAATGGTGTGAAAGAGTGTAGACACTTTATGTAAGTCCTTTAAATTCTGATTTAAATGACCTTCTCCTCTCACCATGGCAGCTTTCCTCCATGTTTGCTGTGTAATCTGAATTGCTATTGACATAATATCAACTGGCGCTTTTATGGCTTTCTTCTCAGCACGGTTCCATAAAGACCAGATTTGTGAAGTGGATAACAAATGTTTGCCCTGTTAACAGATTCTCCCACCTGACCTGTAAACCTCTGCTGCTCCTCCAGAGTTACCATGGACCGCTCTGCTTTTTAGAATTGAAAGTTGAAATTTTCATTGTTTTTTATTTTCTATTTAGTTCTGACTTCTGATTTTAAGCTCTATTTTAGTTTTTCTTTGTTTTTACCATTTGTTAGATAGTTTAGTTTACTTTTTTTGTTTTGGAAATGCCCAGTGTCATTTTAGTTGTTATTATTTTCTGTTATCGTTTTGGTCTTATATGCAATACTACTTATATAATGGTGACAAGACAAAAAAATAAGAAATAAAATAATTAAAATCCCAGATAAGGAGTGACAGACCGCCTCAGCAGCACAGATGAACTGACTGCCATCTGCTGGCGTCATGTGGTACAGAGAATAACAGGGAAAACAACAAAATAAAGAAAATCTAGACCTCATATTAATGCATTATGATAAAAAAAAAAGGAAACATTCTCTCAAAATTCAGTTATTTTATTTTTAATTTTTTTATTTATATATATATATATATATATATATATATATGTTTTTTTATATATGAAAAAATTCATTTAGTTTTAATAAGTTTTGTGAACTCTTATTAGAGTTTCGGTTTGTTTTCATCTTTTACAAGGTTTAGTTTTAATTTTTATTTAAGTTAACAAAATTTTTTTTTTTTCATTATAGTTTTTTATAATAAAATATTATAGTTTTTATAATTATAGTTATTTTTAATTCGCTAGTTTTAATAAACAGTACGGAAGAGGATTAAGGCCAGTGTAAAAAATAAAATAAAAAGTTAACTGATTTTTAATTTTATTTCAGTTTAGTATGGGAAAAATATCAGAATTATGAGAATAAAAAAAGTCAGAATTCTGAGATTAAAGTCAGAATTCAGAAAAAAAAACACAGAATTCTGAGAAAAAAGTCAGAATTCTGACTTTAATCTCAGAATTCTGACCTTTTTTATTGTCAGAATTCAGTCAGAATTTTATTTTGACATTAATGTCAAAATTCTGACTGAATTCTGACAATAAAAAAAGTCAAAATTCTGAGATTAAAGTCAGAATTCTGAGAAAAAAGTCATTAAACTGAAATAAAATTTAAAAATCAGGTAATTTTTTTTTTTTCAGTGTCCCTAATCCTCTTCCGTAAACAGTGCTGATAAAGTGCATGATTTATTGTAAAAGTACAATGTGGTATGTAATGACTCTCACATGACTTATCCTAAAATAAACATTATTATTAAAGGCATTAACATTCGAGGCGCGGTGTTTTTGTGACGGACTGAAACATCCAGATATTAATGGAGACCACAAACCTTTTGCTGTTCCTGTTCTTTTCCATGCAGGGTCTCCCCGGTGACACGGTGTTCAGCGTTTCATCACAGTTCAGCTGTAAGGATGGACCCCTGGGGGAAAAGAGCAAAACGGGCCAATCTTTCTCCCATAATTCAACACGACCCAGCTCTGATACCCCCATAGTGAAAGAGGTATGAGCCGTCTATAAACATGTGAAGGTTGCAGATATGTGACTCGTCGGTTTCGGTTAATTTGTAATGCAAACTCGTCCTCTTCTGTTTTATGACTGAGATATTCAGCAGGAAGTTGCTCTGTTATATTATTTTTCTGTATCCTTTCCTCGTTCAAAGCAAACTAATAACCAGCTGCTTCACACTAAACATAAAATGTGAGCTACTATTTGAATGTCACGCATTTGTCCAGCTTTACATTTACAGCCCTCATCCTGAGGCTCAGATGTGACTACAAACACAGAGAGGAGGGGAAATGTAGAAAGAGGAAGTGATCCCTCCTGTCTGCACCGTCCATGTCAATGTCAGAGCTAATATTATCATGGCTGCTTTTCTGAAGCAGCTGGTCTCAAAGAGAAAGGACGCTTCTGTCAGCGGAAAATCCTCCCGACCAGAACTGGACTCCAACGAAAGGAAGGAGGTAGATGCAGATCGTTGCTGTTTGGATTCTGCCCCTGCTCAGCCTCAGTCCCCCTCACCGGAGGCAGAATATGACAAACTACTGGTAAGTGGAACAAATGCTGCGTTTTCTGCAATTTCCTGGGAAGTATATTTAGTTCACAAGTTTGAAGTTTGTTGCAAAGTGTTAACCCTTCACCACATTTTTTCTAGAACTTAAAAGGAGATAAAAAAGCACTGTTGTGTTTTTGATCAAATGCAGCATGAGTGGATTTCTGCATATCTACGTTTGTTTATAGCAACAGATGCACCTGTTTGAATATTATAGATCTTTATCCTTGACCTTTAAATGGTCACTTATCATTTACTTTGTGATTTGAAAAAGAAAATAATTTTACCTAATACTGTAATGCTTTTACATTTTAGATATCTGAGATAAACATTTAGGGAAACATGCAAACTGCTCTAAAGAGACGGTTAGAGGATCTGGGAAGAAGTGCTTCACTGTGTGAGCGTGCATAAATCCCCCACATGACATCTAAAGCACTATTTGGTTGCCATAAGATGTGTTTACAGGCTGGGATGCCTGCCAGGAGGGAAGGTTAGATAATATGACTGCTGTCACTTTAACTGGTTCCCTTATTCTAACTGTGGAGCAGAAAAGAAAAACAGCCATTAAAAATAAACAGATTTCCTTCCCTTCATATCTGGCTAATAACATTCCCCACATTTCGTGATACCTCGATTATTTTTAGCCTTTTCCAACATAATGCAACTGAAAAATGTGAAGCAGGTTAATTTAGAGATGTTTCTTAGCCTCCATTAGCGTCCTTCCTATTGTTAGTAATGGTTAAGGTAAATATGGGTCCATGTCAGGCCTTGTTTATTGCACTTCCTGCTGTTTACAAAGTCAAAAATTCTGACTTCTTTTTATCATAATATATGTATCTCACAATTAATTAAGTCGTCTCTATGGAAGAGGATTAGAGCCACTGAAAAAAAAAAGTTAACTGATTTTTTTTATTTTATTTCAGCATAGTATGGG